TCCCTCTGCTTCTCCCTCCCTTCCCAAGAGCACAATTTATTTTGTTTTTAATTCAATAAAACCTAATGTTAGAAAGGAATTATTTCAATGAACCCCAAAAGGATCTCCCTCTCAAAACACTTGTGAGGAGAAAACCATTTGAACATTCTGCTCATGACTTTCCTAGTCTGGCATTCACCCTGCTTAGGAGATACATTCTTTATCCCACAGGAACTGCTGACTGATGCACAATTAATATTGCTTGAGACACAGGACCAAATTCAAATCCATCATAAGCAAGTGCAATTCCCCTTGAAGTCAATTAGAGTTGTGCCAGGTTATACCAGGATAAAATTTGACCATCAGACAGAAAGACTTTTATTCATAAGTGTTTCCATCTGTAAAATAAAATCCTCGTCTATGGTGTATTTCTTATTAAACAAATCAAAAGCTATTTCAAGCATGTTATTTATTAAGGAGGGGAAAGTAGAATATAATGTAGATCTGGGTGGTATTCAGAGTTGAAGGTCCTCGTATTCTGGAACTATTCAGACTCCAATTATGGATATTATCCAGATCCGATAAATGATAGCAAAACTTGTATCTGAAATGTGTGGTAAAGTTGAGAAGCTGATTAAATGTCTAGCAGGAAGAACAAGGGTCATATACGTGAGAAATCCCTCCATCCATATATTTATACTTCATTTCTCACTAGAGCAGGACAGAAATTCCATTTTCCAAAAGATTTGGCTTCATTACAAATAGGAAAGGGAAACAATTATTTCAAAATTCACCACGAAGGAATTTTTTTTAATGTTTCGCGTAAATTTTGAGGTTTTTTTTAATTTTGTACTATACAATATATAACATCCTAAAATATGATATAAATGAAGCAAAAATATTTCATTCCCAAATATTGAAATAGGACATTTTGACATTGTTGCACCTTCCCCTCCCTCCTGCCCAGTATTCTTCTACAACAAAATATCGACCCAATATCATGAAGCATTCCATTGTAATATGGCTCCAGCAAAATTTCTCCAAGTTTTACTCATCATCATAGTATCTTACTGAATAGTTTGAACAAGAAATTTTTTCTATGTATTTTTTCATGATGATCAGTTGGATTTTGTGATGGTGTTGTACTGTAATTTCTAGCTTATTCACATAGTTAGTGACTGTTGTGTTGCCTCTGGCTACAACCTCACCGGGGGCTGTGAGTTCTAACATCCAAAGGAAACCAACACTATTCACTGCAAGGTGCACCTGGTGTCATAGGTATAACCTGATGAGATGCAAATCCACTTAATCATTGACAAATAACTTAGAGCTTGCTGAATTACTTTATTCAATTAGGTGGTATTCTGGCATTAAAAAATACTGTCTTCTTCTTCTTCCTCCTTTCTGGTCATCTTTTCCCTGAAAAGTTAGTTGGAGCAAGTCTTCTGTCACTTCGATGGAGCGATGCCAATTTACATCAATTGACTGTCTGGCCTTCTGTGTGTTTACTTTAGTCAGCCCTGGTAAAGTGCAAGTGATAAGATTTAAAAAGTCTTTTGATTATAAAAGGGTTAGATCTTAATTTAGATCTTAAGGTGCTGCTCATATTTTTCCCAATTTATGAGCAAAAAACCTAGATGGCCGGGTGATCATCTGTGGCCTTAAATTCTATGGCTCTATGATGCTAATTCTCCATGAATTTTCTATGACTTCTCACCATATACATTTGGAAGCCTAGAATTCAGCAAACATAAATTGCTAAAAGATCAGATGCCCTGCAACGCGTTGAAACTATCTGGTAATTGAGCAAAATTTCAGATTCAGAGAACTGCATAAATGCCTTAAATGTATTCTGCATACTTTATATAATATTTACTAAGGAAAAGGGAATTTCCGTTAGCATGCAGAGCACAGCGAGAGAGCTGCCTTCATCTGGCTGGGAGAACAGTAGTGAAATCATCTTGTTTGATATTCCTGATACATATATATTCTATAGCTTGTTGGAAAGGTAAATTTTATCAAAAAAAGGAAAACTGAAAAATGTTGTCAGAAAACAAAAATTGTTCTGGTTTATTTTTCTTACTGAAACTCAATATTTTCTGTGGAATGCAGGCATGTTTCATGAAGAAAATTTGTTTTGTCAAAACCCCATTATTCTGTTGAAAAACAATTTGAACAAAAAATTTCAACCAGCCCCAATGTACACACTTCGTACATGGAAAAAGTGTTTCCACATTGTCTGTTTTAAATTGACTATAGACTCTCTGTTATATGGCTTAAAGTAGAGTAAATGTGGATTTTCACATGCAAAAATAGGAGAATATAGCTAGGGTATTTTCTTGAGATTTAAAGTGCTACTAAAGACACCGTACCAATACTTCTGTGCCACTGAGGCCTTGAGAAAGTGTATTGAAAAAGTATCAGAGGGGTAGCCGTGTTAGTCTGAATCTATAAAAAGCAACAGAGGGTCCTGTGGCACCTTTGAGACTAATAGAAGTATTGGGAGCATAAGCTTTCGTGGGTAAGAAC